TTTTTTATGATTAGGTCTACAGTATGTACTCATGTTTTATGTCAGTGTTTTAACGTGAACAAAATTAAACATTAATATATGTGTTTTTCTTAATAATTAAGATTGCTTAAATTGTTAATGTTACAATTGCCAGATTTTATTCCATTCTGTAAGTGGCGGGTTTTCTCTGTTGAACAAGAGTACTGAAGAAATGTATGCAACGATCTCACAACGATGAGACGATGATCAGAATTTTACTAAAATATACTGTGTACTTCATTTTAATCATAATTGAAGATTTTAATTATAAATAACTTGTGGCCGAGTTGACTTGTGGCCGAGTTAACTTGTGGCCGAGTTGACTTGTGGCCGAGTTGACTGCATCTGAACTTTTTGTGGCCGAGTTGATTTGTGGCCGAGTTGACTTGTGCCCGAGTTGACTGTGGCCGAGTTGACTTGTGGCCGAGTTGACCTGCTTCCGTAGACCCTAGGCCTAGTAGTAGGTAGTAGGCGTCTACTAAGCCTAAGGTAAGTAGGGCATATTATGTCTCCTATTATTATTATTGGTACATTTAAAATGTTCAGCCAACCATGGCCAAAGGAAATAGCCTAATCCTAGGTTAAGCCAATGTCAGTTGCAGGCCCTTAGACTATAGTAGGTGTAGGCGAAATTTATCGGACATACGATATTTGGCGGCTGTGCCACTGACCTAGGGGCTAGGCCCTAGGCTAATAATAATAATAATAATAATAATAATTTATTAGGAACTTCACTTTTCAATCAGTGGCACACTTCTCAATAGAGGGGGCGTCCAAAACAATATGTACAGTAAAGTTCACAAAAAAGACTTACGCTAAGAAAAAGACGATTCAAATTTTCAAAAGGGACATTAAGGAAAAGTAAAAAAGAAATTGTTCAGTCATGTAAAAAAAAAAAAAAAATAATAAGTTGAATCTGCCATTGTTGTTTATTAAATGTAATATTGTTGCATAAAAATGAAATTTTTTTAAATTTTATTTTTAAAAATTTTGTGATGGATTGAGCATACACACTGTACTGTACGACGACCACCAGGCACCATTTTTCTCATTGTTTTTTATAACTTGGAAATTATTCTTACCAAAATTTCACACAAATTGTGTAATCGGTGAGCTTTTTTGGATTTTGATATATTTGAATTTACAGGTACAGTGTTACCATGTGGGAAAGTGAGGACCCTGTGCCAAGAGATGAGCTCTTAAAAAGAATTGTGGGATGTGATGGGCTGTACTGTCTTATAACAGAGAAGATTGATGCAAATGTTATAGATGCCGCAGGTAACGTATATTAATTCATATTCAAACATTTTGTAAGGTAAATATTAAAAGGAGAATTGCGGAAATAATTGGGTAACAGATACCACATGGAGAGATACCACATGGTATATGGGGAATTTTTAATGAAGTTCAGCCAAACGATACAAATATAGAAAACTTCAATCCCTAAGCCTCATTTTGAGGCTTTATATTTCCCGCATGTTGCGATTTACATGCTTTCTGATGATTGTGAAATAATAGTAGTAATAATAGTTCGTTATTGGTCCTCATTCAATGTATAACAGACACAGACAGAAGCAAACATTGTCCTTAACCTGCCTAACTCTCAGCCAACCACTGTTGCAAAAGTCAGTTGTATATACATTTTTTTTAATGAAACTATTTTAATGTGTGCTTTAAATAATGCTTAACATAATGTAAATGTTGTTTTGTATGTCACTTGTCTTTAAATTTCCTGATGCAATTTGTATGTGATATGTTGTACTTTTTATAAATAAATTGATGTTGTATTTCAAAAAATTTCAGCCCTTTGCTGTTGTTTTGCAACTTGAATACATAAACAAATATTTAAAATGATTATGATGATGATATTAAATTGGACCAATTCTCTGCTTCATCATAGGAACTAACCTGACGACAATCAGTACAATGTCTGTTGGGGTTGATCACATCGACTTACCCACCTGCAAACAGAGGTAAAGAACAAGGCAAAAAATTCAAGTAATAATTGGGGGATCTTAGGGTGGCGAAAGGGTTCACTCACCAGCTTCCCTCCCACCCTTTACAGCTACAAAAATAATAATTAACAGAGTATGAAATCATTTTCATCAGAGATTTAAATGGTAAAAAATTCCAAAGCTTATAGGGGACATAGCCCTCTGCACCCCACAATAGGTAAAGGAACACCCTAAAACCTTCATTTGTCAACCATAGGTTCCTCCTACTTTTAGACCAAGGTCCTCAATATGGTAGTCAATAACTATTTGCGCCACCCCAGCAAAAAATGTCTGGATCTGCTACTGGTAATTATAATAATAAATAAATTTATTTATGACCGTAACAATTTTCAAAATTCATTTTTGATTTTACTATCTGTTATCTTTTCTAGAAACATTAAAGTAGGCTTCACTCCAGATGTTCTCACAGATGCCACTGCAGAGCTGACTGTCGCCCTCTTGCTAGCAACTTCACGGAGAATAGTTGAAGGTGTGAATGAGGTGAAAAGGTAGATTTGAAATGAATTAATAGTTCCTTTAAAATCATTGAATTCAGATGTATTCTTTTAGCCTACTAGAGCTGTAATATAATATCAGATGCAACAACATTATTTCTTCAGTGGTGGTTGGGGAAGCTGGAAACCTTTTTGGATGTGTGGTCCAGGGCTGTTGGGAAGCACTGTTGGTATCGTTGGCCTAGGAAGAATAGGCCAAGCAGTAGCAAATAGGCTAAAGCCATTTGGTGTTACAAGATTTTTGTATAATAACAGGAATCCAAAACCTGAAGCGGACATAATTTCTGCAGAGTTTGGTGAGATAAACAGCATAATTTTCTCTTTATGGGCCTATTGATATATCATTTCTATATATACTATTTTTCTCATTTCAAGCAAATTGTTTAAATTATTCAGTATTGTTACTATTTTACTATGTTGCATACATTAGGCCTTGCCCTTTCTTTTTGTAATTTTTCATTGTAACATTTCTTATGTCAATGGGACCCCTTCAGAAACAAGCAGAAATTTTTTAAGTGTGAAAGTGTTATCCTGAAATTCTGTAATTGTTGTTTTATGCCTCATTTAATTTTTGTACTTTGTTTACATGTGAGAATTTCAAAATAAATCAATTCAAATTATATATATATTATATAGATTGTTTATAGTAAGTTATCACACAATATTGATAAGCCATGTATAATTTCACATGATTTATTCTTTGTCAGATGTTAAAAGAGGATATTTAATTTCTTTGAAAATCATAAATTTATCTTCAGTTTCATTTGAGCAACTACTGGAGCAGAGTGACTTTGTTATTATATGCTGTGCTTTGAACCCCGACACCAAAGAAATGTTCAACCGACATGCTTTTAAGAAAATGAAATCATCAGCCATCTTGGTGAATACAAGCAGGTTATGACTGACATGTATCCACTATATTAACCCACAATCATTCAGGAATTATAGTAGTTAATCCACATTTTGATGCAGTTTAGCAATAAAAGTGGTGTGGACTTTTAAGCATTTTTGTACGATGTTGTACAATGGTCGTATGTTTCATGTTGGCTGGATGAATTAGGCTCAAATTATTACTTGAACACTAAATTGATAGCTGAGCAGTAGTTATAAAACTATGCTAAACTATTATGTAAGTTATGATGTTACATTATTTTGATGCACACAATAAGAAAATTACCAAATATTGATTTCTGTTTTTACTGACATTTGCTCTAAACCTTGCTCTTTATTTCAGAGGGGGTGTTGTACAACAGGAGGATCTATATCATGCATTAAAAACAGGTCAGATTAGAGCTGCAGGACTTGATGTGACCACACCAGAACCACTTCCTACAGATCACAAACTCCTTACTCTAAAAAACTGTGGTAAGTCAAAAGAACACTAAATCATAAATTAAGTTTGTATATTATCAGACATTTTAAAATTCCTCATGCAGTATGCATGAATGCATGGTCAATCAACTGTTTATCAATCAATGACCCTTTATTTTGCTTTTGTTGTAGTTGTTCTTCCACACATAGGCAGTGCAACTGAAGACACAAGAGAAGCAATGTCAGTATTGGCTGCGGAGAACCTGGTGGCTGGTCTAGAGGGCTCACCAATGCCCTATCAATTCAACTTGTAAATTAAGTATTAATATAAAGAGAGAGCTAAATTTTTTCAAACATTTGAATCTGCCTATGGTATTCTGAGTTTGGTGATAATCAATTTGTTTTTCTAAGAAAGATGGTTAGCATTTTTTTAAATGTTCAGTTGCCCCAAACAAGGCCAAGGGCCACTCAAGTTAAGGGTTTAAGATAGTTGAAAACAAAACAGATGACAACGAAATTTGGAATTTGTAAGATGAAAGGAAATTGGAAAACAATCAGCAATCAGCTGGCAAAGTATTACAAAGAGAAGCCGAACGATGAACAAAGGAATTAGGAAATTTAAGAGTAAATCGGGTGTTTCTGGAAAGCATATGAACAGGTGACATAAGTTGGAAAAGCTTCTCAGAGCAATGGCAATGAAAATAACGATCAAGTAAAATAAGACCAGCAATACTGCACCGATAAGCCAAAGGTTCCAACCTAGAACCCAGCTCTGATCTGATCAGGTGGATAACTTGACCTGCTTCAATCATCCAGCCTTCTGCAAAGTGCTTTTTGCCATGCTTTTAATGTGATCCTCCAATTTGGAGATGAAGAGCTGTCAGCTATCGAACATCATTTAGAAGTTTGTTGTCTTCAAGATGGTTGACATTGACTTCACATAACAACTGCTTAAATATTTTGCTAATGATGGGAATAAGGTTGATGGGATGGTAACTCTTGAGGGTCACACTTTTTGCTGTCTTTCTTAGAAATGTTTTAATTCCGACAATCTATGGGGAATTTTTTATTCCAATTTATCTAGTAAATTAAATTATGGACATAATTGAAATGGGATGTAACTGTATAGTAACTGAAATATAACAATATGTACTGTACAACTGTATAAACAAAACAAATATTATATAAGAACATTTTACCTTTCAGAGTAGTTTATTGAATATCATGTCATTGACAAAAAATTTTCAAGAATAATATATAATATGTTAACAGCAATTTGTCTGAAGTAAAGTCCATTGGCAATTACCTTGGAAAATTAATGGGTTTCACACACCTATACATGATTTCATACTATTTTTTACATTTTTTAGGAGTTTGTCCCCTTTAAATACCCCTGCATAAAGCAAATGTTGATGATAAATACTGTATTATTTTCCAATAGTTGTGCAAATTAAAAGAAATAACCCCATATTTATGCATCACTATTTTAAATAAGACCTGATCCCTGTGAGATTGCATAAAATCTTGCAGACGAAATTATGTCTAAATGAAAGCAAATTAAAAATTTCTTATAATTACAAAATTATCCAAACTTATAACTGTAGAAATAATATCACACTAATTGCACAAATCCCAATGACAAAAATGAATATAGAACTGAAAAATAATTATCAAACAAGTTTAAAAAATTACAAAAGTTTTAGGAGAATTTTGCAGTATAAATTTAAAAACTGGAAGAGATTTTAAAACTGGAAGAGATTGAAAAGTGAGCAACAGCTCCCTCTATTATAGAGGGAGCTGTTGCTCACTTTAAATTATGCACATGTCAATAATAGACATGAAAAAAAAGAATGACCATTTCAATGCATTAATGTACACAATGCTATATCAAAATATGCAACCAATTACTGATGGCATTCAAGGTTTATATGCAAACAACAGATATGATAATTAAGCTAATTAACAATTGTATCATAACTAAGCACCAATCATAATTAACATGTTTTATTTTCTCTTTACCAAGGTGTTCAATATTATTAAAATGCAATTTACTTATGGCCTTGGGAAATGAAAGAATAATGCATTGTTCAGCTAGTACAATAATTTATGCACATATAGTTTGCATTAATACAAAATTACCTTGAAATATGTTGTATATATAGTACACAGATAATTAAAATCGCATTATTGGGAAAACTGAAATTAAACCTTGAAGAATCACAGTTTTAAAAAACATTCCCATAAATTCACAAATGATCGGACAAGCTCCAACAATCAGGCCATTTGTATTATAATAACAACATCAGTCTATGTCAGTCACAACGTGGAGGTCCCTTTGGAATGTAATCTCCGAAAGACTTGGCAAATGCGTGAATAAATTCACAAGTATGTCAAGAAATGGCTGACAACATTCTCATTGAGCTTATAAATTAACTCCTTTTACCTATTTTTCTGCATATTACGAAAATTAGAAATTTAAATTATTGAGTATTGGGATGCAGGCCATGACTTAGAATCTGGAAAACAAGGGTTTGGATAAGATGTTTCACTATCATGTATCCATACATTTCTTGACTGTACAAAATTGTTGGATTGGCATCCAGTCAAAAAGAACCAAGTTAAAAACATTCTTTAAAGCTAGGCTCCGAGGGAGAAGCAAATTGTTAATATGTCTGGAAAGTGCTGTTTGTCTTTAACTTACTCTTAATATGTTGTACAACAGATTTTTATAAGACACAAAAAGCATATTTGACAAAAAAAAACCTGTTAATGATGCAGATTTTAAAATATTTTTCTATAAAAATCAGTTGTACTGTATAACATATCAAAATATTTTTTTTCCTTTGGAGCCTGACTTGGGTAAAATGATTACAGTGTAATTATTTTTTTTATAAGATTTATGGAAGAGAAAATTAGCACGTCTTTTTATATGGGTTTGAATTAACATTAAGCAAAACAAAAAACACTTAAATATTTCTTTTTATATCTATTTAAAATTATATTAATGAATTTATATAATTTTTAAATAACATATTGTCACAAATAATTTCCATATAGATATATTTAAATCTTATATTTTTCATTTTAAAATAATAGAGTTTGTGGAATGTTTTTAAAAAATTAATATAATTATTGTATAAGACTATATTTCACACATGCATATAAGTTATAT